TACTAAGTAAATGACTTTTATTATTTACTCTTTATATTAAGAAAGTAAATAACATCCTTTTGAACTCTTATTTTTTTTAAACTCAATAAATTCTTAGTTTATAATTTTATTTTAGATTTCGGTATCTTCTTATTATTTAAAATAATTTTAAATATTTAAATCGTTTTCTAATTAGATTTTTAATTATTTAATTTGGCTTTTTATTTATTATTTATGTTATTTATGAGCATTAATTTCATCAAATGAATTAAAAAAATTTGCAATTTTTTGAAAAAATATTTATCTTATCTTTTATTTTTATTAGATAATAAAATTTATTGACTATTTTAATTTTAACTGTATACATTCATTTATTTCTTTAAAAAAACTAAGTTCCTTTTATTACTATTAAAAAGATGATGAATTATATTAATTTATTTAAGTTTTAAAAAAGGCTCAGTTTTAGTTATGTTGTATAAAAAGGTGTTTATTTTAATTCTATTTTATTTGTAACTCTAAATTAGTCAATTAATTTATTATGTATTGTCTTTTAATTTTAATTTAAACATTTCATACTTAAGTTTTAGTTGCTTCTAATATTTTTTACATTATTACTTAATTAAGACGAAAAATAATTTGAATAAATATTATTTTTGCTATTTCTTACAAACTTATATGGATTAATTTTTTACTATTTAATTTTTTATTTTATTTTTACTTGCATTTAAAAATGATTATTTAGATTATTTTGCAAGTTCATCAAATAATTTTTTGTTTTTTTTATTTTTTAATTAAACATTTTTTAATTTATTTTTATAGTTGTCTTAATAGTTAGAATTATTATCTAATGATTCTAATTAAATTTAAAAATTTTTATCATATATTTTTTTTGATTTTCTTCATATTCTTCAATAAGATCATTTAAAATATCTGAAGCATTAAATTTTATTTTTATTCTGTTGAATTATATTTGATTTCATCTATAAAAAATAAAAATTAAAAAAATGCAAAATAAAATCTTTTATCAACGTTAAAGATATTTTCAAGTCTAAAGTTTTTATTTTCACAAATTTTATTAATTATTTGATTGAAATTCTATTCATTTGCAATATTAAATAGATTTTTTTATTCTTATTTTAGCTTTCTTTATAATTAGGCCATGTCCGCATTTCTATTTTTCATTTCCGATAATTTTTCTTATAAAGAAATTTTTTTATAATCTTTAAAAAGTTCAAGTATTTAAGCTTCTTAAAAATTATAATTATAAATATTATTAAATAATTTAGATAAATTAATCCTCTCTTGTTTATTTTGATAGTTTTGGGTTAAAGATTTTAATTTTAAATGTTACATGATATATAATCATCTGTAAATAAACATTATTATTAATATATTATTTTATTTATTTAAATATTATATTTTAAACAAATTTTTTATATTCATTTTTCAAATTTTGAATATCTATTTAATGAAAATATTTATCATAATAAATTTAATTTATTTTAGTTTTTTTACAAAATAATTAAACAATTTAAAATTATAGCAATATAGCGTTTTTTACTAAATTTTACAGTATATCTCCAAATTTTTAAAATATATATTTACAAAAGGTTCTTTTAATAAAACTCATAGTAGTAAAATTAAGTATTATAAAAGTATATAGTTATATAATTTTTCTTAATAATAAATAAATAAATAAATAAATAAATAAATAAATAATTATATATTTATATTATGAAATATTTTTATATTTATATATTTATATTTTTATATTATTTTTTTTTTCATAATTATATATTATATTTCCTTTGTTTTAAAAAAAATTATATTAAATAATTTAATATTTTGACTTTAGTTTTTTTTTTATATATTTATTTATATATCTAATTATGATATTATTATTTTTTTAATTTTTTATTTGAAATGTATTAATATATTTTAAAAATTTTTTCGAAATTAAAATATAAATGTTCATTTTTTATTTAAATTAAATTATATACTTATATTTTTTTCTTAATTCACATGTATAAATTCTAAATTTTAACACTTTTATATTTTGTTTTTATTACTAATTTATATTTTTAATTATAATAATTTTATTTAAACTATCAATTAATCATTTTTTTGATAATTAATTATTTGAATTTATTTATTAATTTTAAAAATTATAAATTCTTTCATTTATTATTTTAAATCAATATTTTGGTTTATTATAACAATTTTTATGTAAAATATACTTTTATACTATTTTTATGTCTTTTAAAAATCTATAAAATATTATTTTCAAATTCTTTTATTAACCATAGAAATATAATTATTTTCATAGTAATCTTCTCATTTTTTTTTGAAAATATTCTATAAAGACTTAAAGAATTGTTTTGTTTTTATTTTTTTATATTTTATATAAAATTATTATTATAGACTAATTATAAAATGATGATTATAATTTAGTTATTTAAAATATAATATAAAAAAATAAATTAATAATTAATTATATATTGATTAAAATAAAATTAAATTTAAATAATATTTATATGAATGTACATAAATAATAATCAAATTTTATATAAACTTTTTTATTATTTTAAATAACTAAAATTATAATAAATAATATTTTATTTAAATTTTTAATATTATATAAAAATAATCAATAACTATACAAATTTATATTTAATATTTAATTTATTGTAAAATATTAAATATTTAATAGTTAATTTATATATAAAAAAATATCAATTTTATATATCCTGATAAAATTAATGAAATTAATCTTCTAGATTAATCCATTATCCTTACTATTATAAACTCTATATATTAAAAACAACAGTTTCACCTTGATTATTTTAATTATTTTAAATGTTTTGTATATCATTAGGATCATAAGATTAAAAATTAAGGAAATTATTAAAAAAAGAAACTTAAAAGTAGTCAATAACATCTTTTTTAGAAATACTTTCAAGTTCTTAAATAATATTTATATTTTCTTAAAAATCAAAACTCTTATTTTCTATATATTCCTAATAAAATTATTCTTTCTCTTTTAAATTCTAAAAATTTGATGACAAACTTTCTTTAGTATCCTTTTTTAACTCTAAAAAAGTTTCATCATCCATTTATTTGAGATATTATTCACCGAAATCATGTACCATAATATCTATTTATTACTTATATAAATCAGGTGTATTTTCATATCCTTAGATAAGTACATATAAAATATAAATATCTTAAATATTAATCAACTAACTTTAAACTATATATCCTAATTATAATTAAGTATTCAATTATTCAACTGCAAAATCATCCAAAGGTTATTATATTAAATTCAATATAGCTCTTTATTTCATATTTATTTTGCCAAAATAAAATACTGTGACTCCCAAATTATTTTTATTGTCTCTAGAAAAGTATAAATTTTTAAAAATAATTTTTTATTAGGAAAAAGACAGTATTTTTGCAATAATAGTTTTTTAAGATTATGAATTATTTTTTAAATTAGAAGTTAGTTGAAGGAAAGAGTTTTTACTTAAATTTTCTTGGACATTTCCAAAAGCATAAAAAGTTAAATAAAAGGAGTTTTTGAAATCATTTTAAAATTAATTAAGTTTTGCGAAATCTAAATTTTCTATATTTTATAAAATTTCTTTTTTCTCAAAATAATCTTTTATTAAAACTTTTTATATAATCTCAATAATAAATTACTATATTGTCATCTAATATTCAAATTCTTTCATTTAATTTTAGATTTTTTTCTTGCTTTTTTCAAAATCTTCTTCCTTTATTTACACTTAGTTTAAACTTTTTGATATTTCCTTTATTATTTCTTCTTACTAAGAATTGAAAATTTCCAAATTAATATAAAATCCTTCTTTATTTGAATTTACTTCGTATGTAATTCCACTTATTTCGAATTTTAAAAGATTCTTTTTTAAAATAAATTTGAATTCTTCGACAAAAATTTCATTTGATATTTTATAAAAAATATTTTCTTTAACTAACTTGTGAGAAAATTATAAATAAATCACCTATTTAGGTTATTTAAATTCTATTTTACTTACTTAAATGAGTAATCTTCCGTTTTTGTTGCTCAAAATAACTTAAGGAATTTGATCATCTTAAAATGAATCTTCAATATCTTCTAAAATATTATCTTCTAAAACAGGTAAATTTATCTAAGATACTAATTCGACTTTTTTTGGCAAGTTTAGAAAATCTGAAAGTTCTTTTTAGTTTAAAAATTTTTAAGTAAAAGTCAAATCATAAAGTTTGCTTTCTTTTAAAATCACATTTTCGAAAACACTTTGGTTATTAGTGTTATGAATAATAATTATTTTTTCGGGATTATTTAAAATTTATGTTATTTATTCAAAGTGGAAAATATTGAATTTTTTCAATAAAATTTTAAAACATAAAATTTCTTTGATGTTTATATTTTAGTTTATTATTTTAGAATAATATTTCAATTAATTCATTATATTTTCTGTTTATAAATCTTATAAAAAAAAAAATTTTTCAAGTATTTCTTTAATTTCATTATATTTTTCCTTTTTATTAGATATTTTTTGTATTTCTTGTATATAATAAAAATAAATTCTTATTATCTCTTATATATTATTATTTGATTCATTTAATAGCTCTATCTCTATTTAAAATATCAAAAATTTACTTAAGGAAGAAATCTCTTCTGCTATATATATTTCACATTATTTTGATAAATATTTTTCTGCTAAATATAGGCAAAAGTTTGTTTCCTAGAATCCATAACTGAATAAAAGTTAGATAAATTTTAATGTCTTATATTCACTTTCTTCTTTGAAAGGTATAAAGAAAAATAAATGAAGTTTATTAGTTTTAGCATTTTCCTTTAATTGTAAATATGAGCCTTTTTAAATGGGCATTTCTTCAGTTTTTAATTTGGAATTTAAAAGAAGATTTGAATTTTCTGCTTTATTCTAAAAAGAAGGTATTTCTGAAAAAAAGTTTTCAATTTTATTTTTAATTGAATTTTAATGAATAGAATCTACTTTTATTACCAAAGTCATATTTTCGGCAAAATAATATTTCTAAAAAAACTCTCTTAGGGCAGAGTATGTATTTTTAGGATTCTTCATTAAAGAGTTGAAATTTCCACAAAAAAAATTATTAAAAGGATGTTCTTTATCACTTATATTAATTAATAAACTTTAAATTCTTTCATCTTATATGGTTAAATGATTCATATATTCAGAATTTACTGTATTTATTTATCGTTCTAGTTATTCTTTTTTTAATAGAGGGTCAATGAAAAATCGACTCCATACTTCTAAAATTTACTCAAAATTATTATTTGCGCTTTGAAAATAAAAATTAGATTTTCCATTCTCTGCATATGAATTAATTTAACCTTCTATATTTTTTTATTAAAATAATAATAATTTAATATATTTAAATAAAATAATTACAATTTATTGATAATAAATCATAAAATAAATTTTTGTCTTGATATTTTTCACTTCCCATAAGTAGCATATGTTCTAAAAGATGTGCAAGTCCTTATAATTAGTCTGGATTATTAACTGAACCTACATTTACGTCTAAAGAAGCTCCACTTAAAGGTAAATTAGGTTCAGATATTAAAAGTACTTTTAAATTATTTTCTTTTAGTTTTATAGATTCAAATTTACTTTTTATTGTTTTAGGTTTTATTATTTAATCTGTAATATCTTACCAAATATTTTGGAAAAATAAATCATTCGGATTATTTAAAGGATTTATTTATTATGAAACATTGAATATTTGTAAAAAAAATAATATAGATGTAAATAATATTAGAATAGATATAATTAGTCTTTTAATATAAGGTCTAATTATTTAGTAAAAAGCTGAATTATTTTAGATTTAATCAAGTATATATTAATCATATAATTATATATGTTAATAATATTAATTTACATCACAATAATTTACTTGTTGTTAATGTTAAATGGATATCTTTTATTACTTGAAATTATCCATTTTCTAAATATTATAAAATAAAGAAATCTAATAAAAAAGATATTATTTTATTTAAAAAAATAATAAAATTATTATTAGTTTAATTAAAAAATTTAATATATATTAATTTTCTTAAAATAAATTGTTGTATAAATTTTTATGTTATTTTGTTTAAATCAAAAACATATTTATAATCATTAATTATAAAAATAATTTAAAAATAAATTAAACAAATAATATATATAAATAAAATAATTTAGAAATTTAAAAAATAATATAGATATATTTAATATAATTAATATATTTAATAATATATATATTAAATATAATAT